TCAGCAGAGTATATCTTGGTGAGGTCCATGCTGAAACGTGGGTCCAAGCACAGGTCTGAGCTTAACTGAGGCTTTTGATCTCTTTAGTGATTTATTTATGGGTCTCTGAAGCAGGACCATGTAGTAGAGCTTATAGGATGGTGCTGGAGTTGGTTTGTGGGTGTGACTGCCAGTGCTCCCATGAGTATTGGGAAGTGGGGGGAGGTAGCCCACTCCAACTCTGGGAAAGTCTGGAGGTTTCAGTCACCAAACCCGCATCCCAGAATTTTCAACAGATTATATCTTGGTGAGATCCGTCCTGAGACAGTGGAGTCAGGCCGGGGATATAGCGGTGATTTTGGATTGTGGAAGGAAGTGGTTGCTGGGGGCTCTTGTTGGGTGGGCCACCAGGCCAAGCCGCCCTCGTCTGACTTACCCCAGTCTGTTCAGCCATGCGCAGTCCTGAGATTAACTGTGTCTTCTGATCTCTTTTAAAATTTATCTATGGGTCTCTGAAATAAGGCCAATAAGTGAGTTTGTATAGCTGAGTCAGAGGTGATTTGTGAGCATGGCTCCCACATACCTAACTTTCGGCCATTTAATTTCTTGGCAAACTTGGTTCCAAGTTGCTGGGGTCCGGCCAAAGGCACAGCAACAATTTTGAGGTGTCAGGAAGCCTGAAGTCACCATCAGACTGCTGATGAACTCACCCAGGTACAGATTGATCTGTTGGTGGCATCATACCCCCTCTGAGCCCATTTGGGTAGGAAATATTTGCTTTACAATATTTTTCAGAATAAAAGTTACAGGTACCAGTCCTTGGGACATACCTTTCTAAAGAAGGAAAATTCCTGATTTCTTTAATAGCTTGCCAGTTCTTTACATGACACATCTGCTCTCCCTGCCTGGACCTCTCCTCAAAATGTCCTTCCACTCTCCAAACTTCCAGCATCTGGTCTTTGCTGTCTTGAAATATGCTCAACCATCCCTTGACTCATTTCTCCAGGATATCTAACAAATGCTTCCTAACACTCAACAGAATTGTGGCATCATCTGTAAAGCCTAGCCCACCTCCTCACTTCTCACTCCCTCCAAGTTTTAAACACGAGTCTAGCAGTATTTTGTGGCACCTTGACTGATCCCTTGTTTATTCCTCACAAGATTGGAACACAGATTCTTTATCATATAGTCATGGGACCCAGAGGTAGGTCTGCCATAGAGGAGGCAGTGATGAATAAATGATGCTGCTACCATGGCCTTTTTTCCCCGTCAGAACAACAAATATTCTTCAAGAAATCTTTATTTCTTGGGGCTGGAGGGGTAGCACAGCGGGTAGTGCATTTGCCTAGCACGCGGCCAACCTGGGTTTGATTCCCAGCATCCCTTATGGTCTCCCGAACACCTCCAGGAGTAATTCCTGAGTGCATGAGCCAGGAGTAACCCCTGTGCAACGCCAGGTGTGACCCAAAAAGCCAAAAAAAAAAAAAACCCTTTATTTCTTTCTGCTAAAGATAATATGTATGATGACAGAAATTTTAAAAAAATAGTAAATTATAAGCAAATATAAAGATCACTTATCTTACTACTCTACACTTGATCTTAGCCAAAAGGAGCTGGAGCGATAGCACAGCGGTAGGGCGTTTGCCTTGCACGTAGCCAACATGGCCGACCCGAGTTCGATTCCTCTGCCCCTCTCGGAGAGCCCGGCAAGCTACCGAGAGTATCTCGCCCGCACGGCAGAGCCTGGCAAGCCACCCATGACGTATTCGATATGCCAGACACAGTAACAACAAAGTCTCCGATGGAGACGTTACTGGGCCCGCTCGAGCAAATTGATGAACAACGGGAGGGCCTTTACCTTTTACCTTTTATCTTACTACTCAGAGATATCCGCTGCTAATATGTTAATATTTATCCTTCCATATATAAAAAGTCCATATGCACACTTTATTAAAATTGAATTAACTTTTTGAAAGGTACTTTTCCATGTCTTATTTGATTTGTCTTCTGCTTTCCTTCCCTTGGTGTTGATTGTCATTGTTGCACTGTCCAGGAACCTAGATTTGTGTCAGTGCTAGGGCTTACATGAGTGGCTTCTGAGAGTTGACACTGGTGCTATCAGGAATCACACACAGCAGTGTGTAGCAATAAGGGGATTGGAAGTACTGTCCCACACATGTGAGGCTGGCACTCTACCTCTGACTCACAACTGTGGGTTCATTTTTTTATATACAGTTTTATGTTCATTTCCCCCATATAACATGGCATAGTTTACAAAGTAAATAAATTTTACTTCAAAACATTGTACTGATTGGGGGCTGGAGCGATAGCACAGCGGGTAGGGCATTTGCCTTGCACGCAACCAACATGACCGACACAGGTTCAATTCCCAGCACCCCATATGGTCCCCTGAGCACCGCCAGGAGCAATTCCTGAGTGCATGAGCTAGGAGTAACCCCTGAGCATCGCCGGGTGTGACCCAAAAAGCCAAAAAAGAAAACATTGTACTGATTGCATACTATTTCATATAGTTGATACATGATATAGCTACTTCTGATATTCTTTGATGAGTAGAGTACATAAAACTTGGTCTATTTCTATTCTTTGGACGTAGAAGTAAAATTACTAGGTCCAAGTATACAAAATTGTAAAAGCTCATGATATATATTGTTGGGTGCTTTGTATTTGTTGATATTTTTACTAACTGAACTAGTATATGTAAAATTCATAAAACTGTATTGGCACTTAAGTTCAAAAAACAAAGCCAGAATTATGAGTACTATTATTGCTCATTTCACAAATGTATTAATTGTTTACAATGTAGAAGGCACTGATCTAAAAACTAATAAAAAAGCCAATAAAATTCTTGATTTCTTTCCTTTCCTTTTTTTCTTTTTTATTCCTTTTCTTTTTGGGCTACACCTGACAGTGCTCAGGGGCTACTCCACCTTAGTCCTTGGGGGGATCATGCAGTGATGGGGATCAAACCTAGTCTTCCACATGCTGCCTACAAAACCTGTGTTCCAGTCTTTGGAGCTATTTTACTGCTCCCTAAATAAAATTCTTTTCACCAATGAGTATGGGTGTTCAGTCAGCTCATCCTTCTCAAAAATGGTAATGGTGATTATCGTTACCATTTTTCTAACTTCACTAATTTGACAGGTAAAGCAATGCTATTCCACTGCTTCAGTCCATGCTTATGGACTGAAGGCAAGTAGCTTTTTTTTTTCAAATAATGTAGCTGAATAGCAACATCTAATCCTTTTATCTACTCCCTGCAACTTCCCCCCACAGTTTGTTAAGCCTAATTCATTGAATACCCCACTTACTGGCCCCACCTTTCCTCTTTGAGGTTTAGCATATATTAGTCTTTTTTTTTTAAATGCTATTTATCTTTTGAGGGTGGGTATATGGAATGCGTGGAACTAGAGCCTCAGGACAAAAACGGTCACGGTTACAGTCCTCCCGTTGTTCATCGATTTGCTCGAACGGGCCCAGTAACGTCTCCATCATGAGACTTGTTGTTACTGTGTTTGGCATATCGAGTGCGTCACAGGTAGCTTGCCAGGCTCTGCCATGCGGGCGAGATACCACCCTGAACGCGCCCGATCTCATCTGATCTCAGGACAAAACAGTCAGCTGGAAATGGGACGGAGAGATAGTACAGCAAGCAGGACTCTTGCTTTGCCCATGGCTGACCTATTCAATCCCTGACATTCTATAGTTCCCAGAGCCTGCCAGGTGTAATCCTTGAGAACAGAACCTGGCATAAACCCTCAACACTATAAGGTGTGGTTCAAAACCAACAAACCAAACAACACCTCTTCCCCTCTCCCCCCAAAAATAATAAAAACGCCTAGTGAGCTGGACAGTCATGGTTTCAGCCTCATGGAATTTGCAATTTTGCAGAAAATTCAGTTGTTGAGCCACATTGTTAAATGAGAGATGTAATGTGATATGGAAGGTTAACTCACCGTGGAGTCTCAAGTAATAGTTTCTTTAAGAAATTGCAGTTATGGCAAGAACTCTTCAGAGAAATAGGAATTGACATGAAAATGGAAAAGGATGGAGGTGGTGTGAGGCTGGAGGTGAGGAATTGAGGAAGAACATGGGTAGGATGGGAAAGAGTATGGTACATCAAGGCACAGAGAGAAAACCAGTTTATTTGGAGGGAGAAGAAGGGAACAGAGTGACCTGAGATAAGCCTGGGAAAGTCGAAGAGACCAGATGGCCTTGGTCCATCCCAGCTTGTCTTCAATCTGCATGGAAGTTTAAAATAAATAAACGCATCTTGTAAGTTATTGTACTAACACTTATGGGTCCACCTTGGACCAGGATCCTCCATTTCAGTCTGTGCTCCTCCCTCTCTGTCCAGAGAACACCATGCAGACACTTCCAGAGTACTCAAACTTTCTCAAAACCCAGGCACCGGGAACTGCCCATGGGCCTTTCCTTTTGTCGAAACCAAAGGTTCTAATGATGCTGACACCTCTTTTTGGTACCACTAAGACTCTAGTGAAGAGGTCCTCAAGCTTATTCAGTCAACTGCTCCCTTTCAGGAAAAAAATCACTCAGTGCACCCCTAGAAATATACCTTCTGTATATTCTGTGAGTGAACAAACACAGAAATTTCCCAGAGTCTTTTTTTTTCTTTCAAATTTTAGTTTTATGGCAAATAATTGGTCAACACACACCTGAGGAGAGGGGAGAGCAAAATTAGGTGTCAGCACACATCTAGTCAGGGAGATGTTTGTAGATCTGGGGTTACTAGTGTCCCCTGGATGGCTCCTTTAGGGAGGGGATTACCCACTTTGAGAAACACTGCTCCAAAGCCAAAAAGAACTGAAGGACTTGTGTCTGAGAGCATAATGATGGGTCAGATAGCCAAACTGTGGGCTGTCCCCCAATGGCCTGTGCTAAGCTGAGATTCAGGGCTATTCTGATGCTGTGGGGCCATGTGAGTGAGTTCTTAGGATGCATGCTGAATTGTATTTTTTAGTTCCCAAATGTCCTTCTGGGTCTCATTGTGTGGCCTTGCCACACCCCGTCACCTTGAGAAAAGCCCTCTTGACATCCTTATTCCGGAGACTGTAGATGATGGGGTTGAGGAAAGCAGAGATGACATTGTAGAAGAGAGCCAACTTTTTGTCGTCTTCTGGGGAGGACTGAGAGCCAGGCTTCATGTACATGACCATGGCGGGAACACAAAACATGGTGACCACTGTGATGTGGGAGGCACAGGTGGAGAAGGCCTTGATTCGCCCCTGGGCTGAGCGGATTCTCAAGATGGCAATGAATATGTTGACATAAACAAGAAGGATGAGGGAGAGTGGGACTAGGATGACACAAAATCCAAGAATAAAGTCTACCCGGTCATTGATTGAGGTATCTGCACAGGCCAGCTTTAAGACTGCAGGAATTTCACAGAAGAAGTGGTTGATCTTGTTGGGGCCACAGTAGGGCAGGCGCATGGCAAAGTAAGTATAGACCAAAGCAGAGAGGACACCCCAAAGTCCACAGAAAATGACCATTGACACACAGAGCCATGGATTCATGATGACTTTGTACCTCAGGGGGTGGCAGATGGCTACATACCTGTCTATGGACATGATGGCAAAGAGCCAGGACTCAGTGATGCCTAGAACTAAGAAAATGTACATTTGGGTCACACAGCTGGCAAAAGAGATGGTCTTCTTCCTGCTGACCAGATGTGCCAACATCTGAGGCACAGTGGTAGTGGTGTAGCCCAGGTCTAGCATAGAAAGGATGCCAATAAAAAAGTACATGGGTGTGTGGAGGCGGGAATCCAGGCAGATGAGGATGGAGATCAAGCTGTTCCCCAGAATAATTAATAGGTAGATTATCAGGAAGGCTGAGAAAAGCAGGGGAGTATTCCTGGGATTGAAGGAGAAGCCCAGGAGGATGAATTCAGTCACAGAGGACTGGTTAGGCACTTGCATTGTGGTCTACCTCTTAATGAAAAAGAAAGACACGATTTCAGACAGAGAACATGCAAAGCGATGGACCATGGTAGAAACTACTACTGAGGTTAGGACGGGTCAATGTCTAGTGAAGATGAAATACCATAATCCACCACCCCAATGTGACAGCCCACTGCTGTAACTCCTGGGAAATTGAAAACTAGATATGGGCTTCCACATCCATTCCATGCTCTTCCTCTGACTCAAAAGGATACCCATTTCAGCCTTAGTTTCTACTCTGTGAAATGGAACTGTGGGCAAGTGATGCTCTATTTCCCCTTTACATCCCTTTCTTAGCAAGGCAACCAGCATCTACCAATAAACATTTGTTTATACTTTTTTGTCTATAATTTGTATTATAGGGCTGGAGCCCTATAATGTATTATAGGGCTGGATAATGTATAATGTATTATAGGGCTGGAGCGATAGCACAGCGGGTAGGGCGTTCGCCTTACACGCGGCCAACATGGCCGACCCGAGTTCGATTCCTCTGCCCCTCTCGGAGAGCCCGGCAAGCTACCGAGAGTATTCGATATGCCAGACACAGTAACAACAAAGTCTCCAATGGAGACGTTACTGGGCCCGCTCGAGCAAATCGATGATCAATGGGAGGGCCTTTTACTTTTAATATGTAAATATTTGTTTATACTTTTACACTTGTTTTTTCTACACAAGCATTTATTTGTACAGACTCTGTAATTTGGCTCATTAGTAAAAGAACTTACTTAGTCATATTGAAGACATCAACTTATTTTCCATGTACTCTCAGTTTTCCCCCAGGCCAAGGCAGTTTTCTGACTACCATTAACTTCGTCCCAGGCTCTGGTATGCTACAACGTGAGCTAAGTTCTAACTCCTGGTTCTATAATATATTTAAAGAATGACCTGGAATGAACCTTGTATCTCTTTCATTCCCTCTTTCAGTACAAATGAGAACATGTCTCCTTACTATAGTTTTACTTAAAGTTTTCTGTAAGGACTCAATGATATTTTTGTGTAAAAAAATTACCCAAAAGATCTAAGCTAAAAAATATGGATGTTTCTTCATAACCAGACTTCAATGCAATCTTAGCTATTCGAACAAACATTCTTAACAATATTGCACCATACTGGGTGCCTTTATTAATTTTCATTCTCTCAGATGCCTGATCTCTTTTGCTTCTTCTCACACGAGTAAGTATCACGTTCACTTTTAAAATTCTACCAATTCTAAGATACGTTCAACATGACTTCTCTGAGCTGTAATTTCTTGGTGAAGAACAGGGGAGGACAGCCTCAGTAGCAAGCAGTCAGATGCCTTGTCAGTACTTAGGGAATAGAAGAACTTTCTTTTTCATTTTGGTTTTCAGACCATACCCAGCGATGCTCAGGGGTTACTCTTGACTCTGCACTCAGGAATCACTCCTGGTGTGCTCAGGGAACTATATGGGATGCTGGGATTGAACCCAGTTCAGCTGCATGCAAGTCAATGCCTTCCTCCATGTACTTTCGTTCTGGTCCCAGGGAAGAGGAGAACTCTTGATGCTGTCAGTGCTATTGCCTCTGCACCAACTTATCTGACATGATAATAAGCAGTTCTCTAATCTGCTCATTCTCCTTTGGAGCATCAGGAATGTATCTTTACAACAGCCAATGTTGTTTAATATATCAAACGATTTTTTTGACTTCAAAGAACATAGCACAGTTGGAAACTTTAAGCTTTTTTATAGAATTTTAGAGGTATTATCCAGGACTTTTTAGGGGCCTGGCAGATAGCTTTTGTATAAATCTATATCCTTGACCAAAGGGGCTTTCGTCTCCCCAGATAGAAAGGAAATAGATTTAGAAATACTGGGTTTTGGCACTCATGTGCTGCCCAAGCCCATGTGCTGACTGTGCCCATGTGTTGCTGCTGCCCAGAACATGTGGTGCCCAAGCACCTGTGTCATCCATATATCCCCTCTTGAGTTGTGTATTTTCGTATCTAATGCTGAAATGTGTACTGGGGCTCTCTCTTCACTCTAGTGTAGCCCACATTTTCTCTTGAGTACGTTATTCTCTCTCTCTCTAAAAGAAAGAAATAGTGAGTTTTGCTGAATCTTATCCCTGGCCTTACTTGCTATTTGACATTGGACTGAGTTCATTTACTCAGCATAAGTTTCCTTTCCTATAAAATAGAAATGAAAATATTTTACATTGAGGCCATGCATAGAAAATGTTCTTCCACATCTAACTTTTTAATACAACGAGATTGTGCTAAAAACTGGTGTCAGAGAATATTCAACCCTTTTTAACCATGAGAGGAGGCTGTTGGCAGCTGGAACAAGCTATTTATGAAGATCCATATGCCTACAGATGCTATTTCACACCCAGATTCCTTTCTCTCCATCAACCTTCCACTGAATCTCCTTACGATAAATTTTTTCCTAGAGAAAAATTACCTAATGTTCAGGAATAAGAACCAGAAAATCACTGTGAGGAATAACAAAGGGAGATACAATAACTTCCATGATAGATCTGAGCTCTCTTCCTCTGTTTGCATCAAAAATAGAGAATGAAGCCATGAGCCTATCTTACAAAGCACTTTGACAGTCATGTTCTCTATGAGCCTCATGATGACTCTGGAAAGTATAGAATGGAATTATTATCTCCATCTCACAGGTGGGGGTTTTAAAGACACAAAAAGTCACTACTTGGTTGAGTCTTCTTATCTTCAGCAGCAGGAAGAATTCCCATGTGCAGCAAAACTGAAACTTATAACAAGAATGAACTGAGCGGAATACTCAATTTGCTAACACATTGTCTGTCCTTGATTATCCTGGGGGAAAAGCAACTAATGAGGGCAAAGAATCTTGTGTTAGAATTAATTTAATTGATGTGGATCTAGGGATAGTGGTGTATATGCCCAGGCAGACACATCAATCAGAAACTTGGAAAACTCTCAGCTCTGTTCTCATGCCCCTTCATCCGACCCATCACCAAGTTTCACAGCTGCCACCTCCAAGATCCCTCTTGCCCATACACTTCCTCTCCAATTCCCTGGCCACTGTCCAGTTCAAACTCTTGACATCTCCCTTTATTCTGGCTTTCATCTCAGACCCCTCAGCCCAGATCCATGCCCAATCCATTCTCTGTAGTGGTTTCCAGAGCATTCTTTCTAGATCAAAACTATGGCCATACCACCATTTCAAACCTTCAAAGGACTTCCTTGTCTATAGGGAACAAAATAAGATCATTATACCAACATCTTGGCTTTTCTCCTATGAATCACACTAGTTTTGGTCACGAGCCTTCTGGACAAGTGAGGCTGTAAAGAGAATTTTAGCTGTTGCAAGGGTTCACTGTGATAGAGAAGCTATCACAGTGGCCCAAGATACCACATGAAGAGAGAAGACATGACGTGCCACAGTGAGAGTTGGGTGTATGGTTAAAATTAGTATCCAGAACCCCTGGCTATCAGCTTCTCAGTTCATTGGACCCTTTTCCAGCTCATGGCAAGGCTTTATTAGAGATTCTGTATATTGGGTACATTCTCACCAAGCACTATAGCTTCCAAATTTTGTTGCTTCCTTCTGTAATCTCACAGTAATTATCAGAGAGACACAAGGCAGCCTTGACCAAAAGAGAAGGAAAGTTTCTAGATTTTTCTTTTTATCTCCCTATGCTTTTCCCTTCAGTTCCTCAGAGACCTGGAAGAAATTACCTGTGAATAAAGGTCATGGTGCCCTGGGAGAAATCAAGAATTCAACAAATGGTTTGAGGGAAAAAGATGGGTGGAATTGGCACTCATATCTACAACTCCTATCCAGGCCAAAACATAATAATAATAATAATAATTCATTAGGGCAATAATGTTAAGAATGTTACTACCTCCTAGTTATTGCAACACACAATTACATGTGTTTGGCATTCTTGTATTTTATCTCCATAAGAGGGTGATAGTTGGAAATTTAACCTTTAATTTGGGTGCCCTCCAATCAGAACAGCTACCTGCGAAAGCAAACAGGACTAGGAGGTCCCTGAGTGCCCACAGGCTGAGCGTGAGCCCTGCACTGCCAACCTTCGAATGACGTGCTCCTCAGCCTATTTTTCAGACAAAGGAAAGAGATGACACGGCTGCCCAGGAACATGGCTGTCACCCCTCTGTGACAAGAACACAGTGTAGGTCCTCCCTCCTCCCTGCCACCCCTCTCTCTTACTCTCATTTTTCATACCTCCTCCAGGGAAGAAGCTGGCACAAGGGGGCAGGAGGAGCAGGACCAGGAGGAGAAGTGGGGCGGTAGCACAGCGGGCAGGGCACCTGCCGCCCGGCAGCAGTGAGGCTGCAGGGTCTCCTCCCTGCCTGTTCCAATCCTGTCTGCCCTTCACTCCACAGCCCCCTCCTTCCCAGATCTTTGCCAGAGGAACGGATGCCCTGAGTGAAGGGCAGAGCCCTGGCAGGTGGTGCCAGAGCAGGCTGCTCGTGCATATCCCCCTCACGCTACACTCAGAAGCCTCTGGAACCCTCTGGGGGCCAGGGAAGGTGGGAAAGGGCTAGCTGGGGGGTTGGCTGGGAGCCTCGAGCAGCAAGACTTCCCTAAGGGCTTGGGAGAGGTAGAGTGAACTGTGAGATCCCCGAGCAGCCAGAGGAACCTGGGAGACTAAAGACAGTGGGCTGCCAAAGTCGGGGTCAGGTGCTACCCATCAAAGGGCACAAGGATGGAAAAGGTCCCAAGCAGAGACAGATGGGGCGGGAGGGACCCAGAGACCACCAAGGAGCATCATTAACATGGTGGGCAGACAATGTCAGGGCATGGCACTGAGGGTCACTAGCTTGGAAAGGATGGACTCTCAACTGCCTGGGGGTATCAGACCCTGGGGCTGCAGTGTGGGCTGTGCCCCTCACCTCCCACCCCTGCACAGAACACCTTACTTACATGTGTGCTTCCAAGAACACTGATGGACTTTGTCTAGCCCCTGGCATCCAGCCCTGGTCCATCTCAAGTCTCCTCAGATACTAT